CCGAGCAACTCCAGTGCACATTCCGTCAGTGTCTTCTAGACTCCCGCAGTACGTGAAGGCAACTCAAGAAAGTTGAATGTTTCGTCCATGCTTCTCATGCGTTGCAAGGGGATCAGTGCCTCTTTCTCCGTACCGTCAAAATAACAAATAACGTACAGTCGTGTCCATTATATCGTCTACTACAGTACAAGCGGAAGTCCGTAGGTGTGAGCAAAAGATACACAACTCTCAGGCTCTGTCCATCGACGCGAAAATCAAGTATATATATATAGCTCTCCCCAGCACAACTGCGTCTGACACAATGACAGCGTAAACAACCATCCTATGTGGGGCTGTAGCACCAGCCGCCGAAACAGTCCAGTAAAGCCTCACCATGCCGAAGGGCTTGGTAGGTCTGAAAGACATCGTCGTGAAGCACGGCGCGAGGATTGAGACTCAGCGGACTTGACAGGGCGAGGCTTGTTGGCCGAATGGATGAGAATACTCCTAATGCGCAGAGGCAGGTCGTCAAAAGTCACGTAAGGTGTCTGTGCCATCACAAGGAAATATCCGTGGAACAAGGCGGGGCCATCGAGTGCACATTCGGAATCCGAAAACGTCGACTGCCTGGAGCCCATCGGAGGCCGGTTTTTGCCAGGGTTTCCGAGGTGAAGATGACCAGGGTCGCCCGCTGATGGGCTTCTATCCAGCGCCATCATGATCTTCTTCGCCTCGTCCCGCATAACTCCGTCATCTTCTCCTGGGGAGGGTGCAGGACAGGACTGGGGATGCTTTGCAACTGTACAATCCCGGAATTCCGCGGTGGTGGGATCACTGGGCGCTTCGTGATCACCCAACAATCGCCGTTCGCACTGCGCTTGATTGGCACCACATACCACTGGACGACGCCGACAGACATGTTTGGTCCGCACTAAGGCCCGGCGCAGCCCGGTGCGTTCCACTCGGCAGATTCAGATACATGTCATCGTCTTGATAAGACGCGGACGAAGACGATAAGGCAGTGGGACCCACTATCACTGTTCTTAGAAGTCCGGAAGGCATCCGTGCCATGAACTGGCCCGCCCAAACAGCGAGTTGAGGACGCGGGACTTTGGGGGGTATCCACGAAGAGGCTCGGTAAAATCGGATAGTCCGCGAACTGAGGTAACTCAGCATCGTGCTGGAAACCTATCCCCTCAAGTTTGGACCATACTTCTCCGAAAGAGGTTTCTCGCCGTCTGCTTTCCTGCAGGGGGTTCATTCGGAACAACCTATCAGAGTATTTGCTTCAGGCTTTGAAAGTGCACTTACCCATTGTGGGGTATCGTAAGGACTACTATTACCAACACTAAACCACCAGATCTTGTTGCTCCAGTTATTCATCAGCACGCTTGGAGAGGGAGATCGATTTATGAAGGACAGTCTAGATGTCGGACTGGCACTTTTATACGATGCTCTTCCAGTGGAAGTTTCACTCTGTTCCGAGGCCACATCGTGGCGGGGAATCCTGTTGGACGTTGGAACGGATGGTGGATTTGAATCTGCTCCGGGTGTCGTGATTGGTGGAATGAATGGCTTACGGTCATCATCGATCGCCCGGAAGCAAAAAGTAAAAAAGAGCGACAACTCCGCCTCGAAGACTTCGCAAGTCCAAGCGGTTCGACAATCGACAATCGAGATCATCATCGAGGTCAGTGTCTATGTCGTCGCTTGTCTTCACTCAAAACTTTCGAACACCGACCGGTAAAATAGCTTCGCGGGATCGCTTGGATCCATATTTCTTGCCACAACAGTTCACTTGGGTATGTTGAACGAATGAAGCACTACATACACGCCGACTCGGATACCGTGCTCGAAAGTTGCACGGAACCGAATACCCAACGATCCTGGTAGCACGAGGGCACCAGTGGCGTTTATTGAAGGCAATGCTCCTTCTCTCCCAACGACTATTCTTCGCGACCAAGGATGAAGATGAAGCAGCTAGCCGAGGGCTCGACGTCGATTGCTTTGCCATTTCTGTGGCAACCACCCCACCCGCGGCGGATACATGCGTTGCTCCGTTCGAAGTCGACGTGGGCGTCTACTAGCTTGCTACCGACACTTGGCATCTTTCTTCCCTACTCTACCTTACTCCACACTAAACGCCAGGAACAGTCACAGATGGGTTTCTGCAAGGTGATGCATTGATGGTTGACCCGCGCAACAATAATCAAACTCTCAGGAAATAGCGTCCAGACACCCACTGCGTAGAAAACTACGAAGTAAGCAAGAGAGCGGGTTGGATGCTGCTAAGGAGGTGAATATATCCACTGTTGTCCGCCTGTGTCTCCCCGACTCATGATTGGCATGAAGCTGCGTTGTCGATTCTGGTTTCTTATCAAATACACTGCCTTTAAATGCTGCGTTTGACTCCTCGCTCTACCGTTCTGCGATTTCGCCGAACCTGCACAACGCTTGTGAGGTTAGTCGTGTTTTTACTGCATATTGCGTTTCAGCATAGCAACCCGTTGATGCATAGTCGTGGCGGGAACGCCTCACTTTATCTCTAGGAAACTCGAGGAACCATTCAAAGAGTTCCAATCCCTCGCCGTGGCAGGTCAGTTTGCTGGAATCTATGTCCACGTGTCCAATTTAATGTAAAACAAGCGCCTCAGGCTCCTGCCTATCAATACTATTGAGGAACAGGTACGAAGGCACAACGCTGACGATAAGTTGTGTTTGGTTACCTAGCAATCATGACTCTGGGAGATGTTGACATTATTGTCAGTTTACAACGTCAATGATTAATTGAGGTTCGAATTCATCCATTCAGAGTTCCTTCATTAATTACTCCATGGCTGTTAAAGCTCTCGACAGTCAGGATACACATAGCGAAGGGCATTCCAGAAATAGTCAATCAGAGCCAACTAGATCTGTAGCTGTGGTCCAATCAACTTGTTTCGTTTGATATTGCAGACAGATGATAGTAACGTGGAAATCAAACACTGTAGGAGTTGTATGTTTGCGGTATAGTTGCAGGTGAAAGAGAAAGAAAGAAAAACAAGAAACGAGATAGCAGTAAAACAACGAACCGGGTCGAAGCAAATGGGCTGACACAGATGACTCGTACACACACGGCCACGCACGCGAGTAAGACTGAGTGACCACAGAATGGCACTTGTCGATATCTATGGTGGTGTAGGCACGCGGGGACCTCGGCTAGAGCTTGGTCGAGAGATGGAAGTTCTGAGAGGACGGAATGGACACCCACACACGAGATTAGTACAACAGTGTCCAGAGGAACAACAGTACATCCTTACGCATCTCCAGAGCCGTACTTGCGGCGTTGCCATCCCCAAACTTCACTGATCCATTTTGCCATGGGAACCTCTTTCTTCATGATGTTCACGATCCACGGATGCACTAGTATGTCTTTAGGAGCTGGACGTGTTTGGCCGTCGACTATAAGCCTAGAGAAAAACATTATTTCCGAAGGTACAGAAGCCTCGGTATCCTCAGTAGACATACGTCTGCCTGATGAAGTCTTTCATCTCGTCGGACCAATGTACGTCGGGTTCATCTGTAAGCTGCGGGGGCTAAGAGATGCAAAGAATTTAAGTAAATGAATAGTGTTGCTGGAGCACACAATCCTACCTCCCCTTTGGTGATGTGGACAAGGAGCTCAATCACTGTCAAAGCGTCAGGGAAAGGATACCGATTCTGGACGAGTTCCAAGAGGGTGATGCCGGTTGACCAGACGTCAGCACGAATACTGTACTCTTTCCCACTGATCCGTTCGGGCTAATCATTTGTCGCTCAGCAGAACGAAGGCATTCAGAAGGAGTCATCCCTACCGCCATGTAGAAACTCGTACCGGTGAAAGTCCCAGCCAGGGACTTGACAAGCTCGCCGGAAACCCCAAAGTCACAGAGTCGAACAACACCTTCGCCGGTCAAGAGAATGTTGGATGGTTTGATGTCCCTGTGGATTGTCTTGAGAGTGTGAAGGTATGCGAGTCCTTGCAACACCTGGGCGGTATTATGAACAAGTGTACTAAAGCAAACACGATGATAATGATTTACCCCTTCTGCTATGCGACCAGTGACCTTCTCGCTGATGCGTGCACCTCGTTCTTTGATCCGTTTGCTGACGGCTTCCAAGCTTCCACCGGCGCCATACTCCATCATAACCTTGACTTCGCTAGATGACGGTGACATGTAGGCACCGTAGAATTGAATGATGTTGATGTGCTTTGCGTTTGAGGAGATAGAAAGCTCGCGCTCGAGCTGCTTCAAGGGTGCTTCGCGCGTCGTGATAGTCTTCCGTGCGAGGATGCGACCATTCCGGATGTCTCTAACTTTATGGACTGCTCCGCCTTGCCCTTCGCCTAATCTAGACAGTTCTTCCAGAACACTGTCTGACCACTTGTCGTTCCCGTAAGTGGACGTTTCCTCAGTTGGAGTGTAGGAGTCGACAGAAGCCTTGTCGAATACCGCCACTAGTTGTTCGATGCTGTTGTCGGTGACTCCATTTGGTTCAGGAGGACGAGGCGTTTGAAGCTGATTATCGGACGGGCGAACGGTGGCACCTCCAGGGTTTTCGCCGTCCAAACCTGGGGGGATAGAAGCAGGACCTGAGTAATAGGAAGTGGCACCGCTGACGCTGCTGGAGATTGGCAAATGCAGCTTTGGCCTCGATCCGTTGACCCTTGGCGTCGGGGAGGTCCCAGGGATGGGAGGGCGCGACGGCGTTGGGGACGATGAGAGCTGTGGAAGTGATGCGGGCGATGGCGGGCGCAGTGATGCTTGATCAACGGACGCCTTGCGAATTTGAAGGGGTCGGATTTCAGGAAGTAAGGGAGACTGTGAGCGAGGAATAGTCCTGGGACCGATGGGACGAGAATGCGCCGGGTGCATTTTTTCTACTTGACCAGTGGTAGTCGTGACTGACCGACAATAACGCGTCGTTAAAGGGCACTGCTTGGGTGGCGGGGAGCGGGGAAATGATAGTCCACATTCCACATTTGTGCTTCCCTCCACCATGGCACTGTAGCCAAGTGGTTACGGCGTCACGTTTAGGTCACTGCACCACATCCGTGATGGGAAACCTCGCGAGTTCGAATCTCGTCAGTGTCATCATTTTTGCCTCTCTTGTTGTGGCATGTGGGCGTTCGTGATCCATGAAAGTGTGCAATCGCTGCGGTGGTCACATATGTGGCATCGGCCCACAACCGACCTTCAAGAACTCATATATTTTAACTCGCCATCTCCCTGCTCAGCTGTGCCGTTTCGTTCCAATGCCTACCTCTGAATCGATTACTCCCAGTTCTTTGGACACCAGCTCAAGCTCCAGCACCCCTCCCCCAGTTTCCCCTACTAAAGCCCGTCGGCGACCCGTCCCTTTACGACTAGACAGCGTCGGCATAGATCCCTCTTTATTGGTCGGTAAAGTCTTGACCAGAATCAGCCGCTCGTCCAACCACCCCAGCATGCAACTCTACTTCTCGGATGATACCATCTACCAGATTCTTGTGGATGGTTATGATCCTATACATCGGTAAGCTCGAAACTTCACGCTCGTAGTTGCAAGCTGACGAATGTCTAGCGGCTTACCCAAACAGCTCGAAATGGATCCAGATTTAGGGTCACTCCTGGACGGAGTAGGCGGACGAGTTGACGTTGACCTAACAATTGACGACTGCGCTCTTATCACATTGACGGATAAGGCTTTCGAGTCAAGGCTGAAGGAACAGCGCTGGGACCAAAATCATATCGGGGTCGCGTTCAAGTTCAGCGAGGACAGAATCTGGCATTGCGTCTGGGCGACTTTAACCGACCACGAAAACGGAATCTGCGTCTTTCGCAGCTACGATGACGTCTATGTCGAGCAATTGCAACGGTCCCCTCGCAAACGCCGCCCGCGCGCACCATCTTCAACCAAGCCTCGACGAGAAGATGTGTAACATGTCTGCGGAAGTTGGATATGTACGAGTCATTTCAAATCACTGCCTTATACCATGCTCGCTTGCTTGTCTGTCTTTCATAAACTGTTTTGGTTAGCTCACATAACACCATGCCGCTTTGCATAAGTTACCGTCGGACTTGATCACAGATTGCTTTTTATTTCATTTACGTCTTGTACCAATAGATCAGTAACCTACCCAGCCCATGAGAACGGAGTGCCTATTTCGTCGCAGACGCACACATCGTGGAGTAGAGAAAAACCTCACCATGCCGCGTAAAGAAACATTGCCTTGTAGCTCACGCTGGCTGCCGAGGATAGGCCATAAATCCGTTTGCGGCAAAGTCGAGATGAGAGGGCCATGGATGTGCTCAGCAAAGCATATTTGCCAAGTATTACCCGCGAAGCACATGTCACGGACCTCCCTGTAAAGGGGACCAATGCATCGTGCGTGAGGTTCGCATGCTTCCCATTCCTTTCGACGCATAGACCATCCCATGATCATGGATCGATCCAGTCGGGCATCCGACATCAACTGGTGGCGCATTTCGGCATCTAAGGCTAAGTTAGATGGACTGGGTCTTGGCTCACCGCGGCGCACAGGCTGACATGAGGTTCGACCAACTCGTAACTGGTTTACTCAGAGATGGAGGCGCTCCCAAACCTACACGCGTCAGCAATCGGGTCCCGTCCAGACTATCTCAGGTTTAATGTCATATGATTCATGGTTAGCGCCATAACGATGATGAAATTCCATCCTGACCTGTGAACACATCCTAAACTATCCAACCCGATTCTGTGAGGCTGTGGTGCGCGATAGCGTGCCACAAAGCGGATCAAACTATCCGCAGATTTGGTGAGAAGGATGAGAAAGGAAACCTGGGCCATGGTGGAAAGATTTGGCGCCTGCTTGGAACAACAAAACTGCGGTGAGTCGATGCCCCATGTTTCACTCACGCCGAACTAGATTTGTAAAAAAAAAAATGCACTGGATCATGATCCTGACGAGGTACAGATATCAGACAAATGTGCGGGGATGTCAGTTCCATGGAGAAAGGTATTGTCCTCTGACCGGCGAATCGCTGAGATCTGGTCATCTGGTATGGGCGTAATGGAGAAACGGGAAGACAGTAAATGTGTCCGCGCAGTAGCGGCAGAGTGAATGGGGGAGGTAGACAAGATAAGCGCCATTTGGTAGTCAGGTCTCAATGATGGGTTGCAGGGTCTGCCTTGGCTTCCTGGCAGGGTCCCTCGCGCACCCTGCAAGGCGTGTTCGTGACATTCTAAATGATACCATAAAGAGCCCTTACCTGAGAGGGAGCTCCATGACAACGTAAGATATATATGGTCCAAGTGAATAGGAGAATGTGGACGATTTGTCTGGTGCGTTATCACAGACGAACAAAAATGGCGTAGATGGCAAGGTTACATGGGTCTCTGTCTTAGTGGTAAGATATAAGGTGCTGTCAAACCATACTGAATGCAAAGCAATCAACTTGAGATAATCGCGGTGTATCCTGACAGCTGCTTGACCTGTCAATACCACTTTCGTCAGTGGTGGTTGGTGGGGAACCTGCTGAGGACGAATTAATGATCAGATCACCCTCTCGTTCAACGTACGTGCTCCGTTGAAATACGTGCAAACGCCTGGCCAGGGCTGTCCGCGCACGCAGATAGCCAGCCGATTCATATTTGAACTTTCTTCGATTGTCGAATGTAGTGGTGTATACGAGTGGTGGTACCAAAAAACCAAGTGCTTGATCAACTTACTTGAGTTCCTAAACAGGAAGCGTTCCCACGCGGTTCCTCGATCGACCAGGTTTCGCGCTTCCTCCTTCAAGTAACATCCTATGGCGACTACACTGACTCCAGCATCCCCTGCACGGGTTTCGTTCGCGTCCTTCACAAAACAGAATCTAGGGACAGTTCGAAAACTCAACGCAGTTCTGTTTCCCGTCACATACAGTCAAGCTTACTATAACGATATTCTGCGACCCGACCTCGACGCCTTTTGCCAGCTCGGTCTGTTCATTCGATGTTTTTTCGGATCTGCATCTGTCTCACCTCACAACAACATCTTCTTCAGTGTACTACAATGACATTCCCGTGGGCAATTTCTCTTGCCGACTCGAAGAGAGCGGTCTCTATATTATGACACTGGGCATCCTCGCTGTAAGTCATGTGGCCAGCCTTCCGACAGCATGCGCTGATCCCTTCGACAGCCCTACCGCTCCATGACGCTAGGTTCGCAGGCCTTGCAACGCATCATCTCCACAGCGTCTGGAAAGGAACGGGCAATTAAACGTATATACCTTCATGTGCACCTCTCCAACCAAGACGCGAAACGGTTCTATGAGCGCCACGGCTTCGAAGAAAAGGGCGTCGAAGAGAATTACTACAAGAAGATTGACCCTCACGCCGCATGGATATTGGAAAAGAGACTTGAGGATCCTACAGACGAATGATTGTTTTGTATGATCTAGGCATCTGCAGTATGTGAGAGCCTGGAGTTAGCAAGTGTTTGTGCTTATACTTTACAGTGAATGTACATGTGCAAGAGGAGGTTATTACATGTCCGCCACCAGGAAAGCTTGTATGGCCAGTAAGAGATTAGCATGCGCGGCTAATAAATAACGATTCGTACCCCCTACTGGTTTGGAATTGTCAGTCAAGCCACGCAGGTAATATCTTGTCGAAGACTCACGTGAGATTACGTGGCTGCTCACGACAGGGTAGCTGTGGTCACGAATCTTCATCATGACCACAGTGCTTGACAAGCTGGATGGTGGTGAGTGGCAAAGTCGTTAAAGGAGAGACACTGCTTGCCTGGTGTCGCTTCAGAGCGTCCTTACGAGTGAAAGTCTTTCCACATCCCCCGTTGCACAGAAAGGGCTTCTCCCCTGAATGTGTCTCTCTGTGGCGCTTCAAATCGTGCTGTCTATTGAACGACAACGCACAAAGGTCGCACGAAAAAGGTCGTGTTGGGGATGCCGGAAACTGGGGTTGTTGGAATTCGCGCGCGAAGTATGTCGATGAAGGTTGTTGATTAGGTGAATGAGATGAGATGTGCTGAGTTGGATATTGATTTGGTGGTATGGCGTATTGAGGGAGGGGATTTGTGGGTGACACATGGTGGCTCGAAGGCAGGTAGTTGGTCCGAGGCTGATGATAGGCATTTGACGTTACCCCTGGTGCATATTGGTTTGGCACCGAAGATGGATAGCCTCCCGTACTATGGTGTGCAGCGGATGGCTCATGAGATGCGTTGCTCATTCCATACGGGATGGACGAAGGGTGTACTGACGCAACGTTGTGCGCAGTGCCTACCATCGTTGGATAGGCATTGGAAATACTCTGATAGTGGTTTGGTGGAGGGTAGCGGGATGACGGGGTACTACTGGCCCCCCACTGGCTGTTTCGACCAGCGTCAGAAGGAAAGGTATATCCGCGTCGGTCGTTCATGGCAGAGTGTGGGTGGGGCTGGAAAAGTAGGCCGGTAGGTGGTTGGACGCCCACTTTGACCTTGGGTTCATAAGCATTTTCGGAACCGCTCTGCTTCGCACAAACAAACCACTGAGCGGTGAATCTGCCGAGCCTCCGCACTGTGAACTGGAGGGACGCGGCACAACTAAGTGGTCATTGCCATTCACGTCAGATCCAGGTCAAGGTTGCCTGATCCTGGTGATGAGCTGTCTATAGTGCCTGATAACGATTATCCTGTAACTTACCTGAGCCTTTCAGCTAATGGCGACGGCCCTAATTCTATGTGTTTCTGAATTGCTGTCTAACCAAAGATGGATGACGCGCCCCTCTTCATCGAACTTCAATTTCAGGTTGCTTGTCCTCATCCCATTGGGATTTCCTCATCAACAATCAGGCACTGTCACCTATCCTGGAAAGGCGGCATCTTCTCGATCGGTGTTGTGGTCACTATCGTGGCGATGCCTGCGCAACCTTCTGACCATAACCTCGCACTGAACCTGTCTTGACTTATTGGGGCCGGTTTCTCAAAGGTCCCCAGGCCCCCCTCTTATTCCGTATATTTCTCCATTTCGTGATGTAACGTGGTTATGGTCCTGGCAGCATCGCCTCGTCCCGCTTTGATCGAACATTTTCTGTGATTCCCAGCTCTTCTTCTGTACATACCCTGGCTGAGTCAGGCGAGCCCCAATTC